GACATAGTATTTATTCCTTTATAAAGACATAGTATTAATTCCTTTATAAAGACATAGTATTTATTCCTTTATAAAGACATAGTATTTATTCCTTTATAAAGACATTGTATTTAATCCTTTATAAAAACATAGTATGAATTCCTTTATAAAGACATAGTATGAATTCCTTTAAAAGACATAGTATTTATTCCTTTATAAAGACATAGTATTTATTCCTTTATAAAGACATAGTATTTATTCCTTTATAAAGACATAGTATTAATTCCTTTATAAAGACATAGTATTTAATCCTTTATAAAGACATAGTATTTATTCCTTTATAAAGACATAGTATTTATTCCTTTATAAAGACATAGTATTTATTCCTTTATAAAGACATTGTATTTAATCCTTTATAAAAACATAGTATGAATTCCTTTATAAAGACATAGTATGAATTCCTTTATAAAGACATAGTATTTATTCCTTTATAAAGACATAGTATTTATTCCTTTATAAAGACATAGTATTTATTCCTTTATAAAGACATAGTATTAATTCCTTTATAAAGACATAGTATTTAATCCTTTATAAAGACATAGTATTTATTCCTTTATAAAGACATAGTATTTATTCCTTTATAAAGACATAGTATTTATTACTTTATAAAGACATAGTATTCGCTTTGCAACGGCGCTCCTTTGTACTTTTTATCCATTGACCACGCGTCTAGCAATAGGTTGTTAGGTTAGAGGTTCTTCAAAATTCACCGTTTTGGTTCGCTAATTCTTCTTAAAGACCTGCGTAAACACAATCAATGCACCAGGGCCTACAGCTTGTGTCATAAGTGAGGTCCAAGGCAGGTTGGGTTAATTTGCATGAAGGGAGGGACCAGGAAACTGGTCACAGTACGGACGCAGTGGGCTGATAAGAGACACATTTTATTACCACGAATCATCTTGATCGGATGACAACAACCACATGTTAATGCAAGGTGTAACCACGACTAGAGAGAGGAGAGAAGACAGGGAGAGGAGGAGGAGAGAGGAGGGTAGACAGAGGGATGGAGAGAGTAGAGGAGGAGGAGAGAGGAGGGTAGAGAGAGAGATGGAGAGAGTAGAGGAGGAGGAGAGAGGAGGCTAGACAGAGAGATGGAGAGAGCAGAGGAGGAGGAGAGAGGCGGGTAGACAGAGAGATGGAGAGAGTAGAGGAGGAGGAGAGAGGAGGGTAGACAGAGAGATGGAGAGAGTAGAGGAGGAGAGAGGAGGCTAGACAGAGAGATGGAGAGAGTAGAGGAGGAGGAGAGAGGAGGCTAGACAGAGAGATGGAGAGAGTAGAGGAGGAGGAGAGAGGAGGCTAGACAGAGAGATGGAGAGAGTAGAGGAGGGGTGAAAATGATAGAAGAGAGGTGAAACTAAATTACAGCCCCAACCAGGCTCCCCCTTCTCTCCCCCCTTCTCCCCCTTCTCTCCCCCCTTCTCTCCCGACTTCCTAGTGCTGCCATGGCAACTACTGCGAGGATTGGAATGGCTGGTTCTGTAATGAGTCTTTGTCTTTAGACAAACAGACACTATCGTGGCTACAGACAGACAGACTAGCAGACAAACAGACCGACAGACACTATCATAGCTGCCTCCCAAATATGATTAAATGTAGAGCACTATGCATTACATCACTATGCATTACATCACTATGCATTACATCACTATGCATTACATCACTATGCACTACATCACTATGCACTACATCACTATGCATTACATCACTATGCATTACATCACTATGCACTACATCACTATGCACTATATTACAATGCACTACATCACTATGCACAACATCTATATGCACTATATCACTATGCACTACATCACTATGCACTACATCACTATGCATTACATCACTATGCACAACATCACTATGCACTACAACACTATGCACTACATCACAATGCACTACATCACTATGCACTACATCACTATGCATTACATCACTATGCACTACATCACTATGCACTACAACACTATGCACTACATCACAATGCACTACATCACTATGCACTACATCACTATGCATTACATCACTATGCACTACATCACTATGCACTACATTACAATGCATTACATCACTATGCATTACATCACTATGTACTACATCACTATGCACTACATCACTATGCACTACATCACTATGCACTATATTACAATGCACTACATCACTATGCACAACATCTATATGCACTATATCACTATGCACTACATCACTATGCACTACATCACTTTACACTACATCACTATGCACTACATCTATATGTACTATATCACTATGCACTACATCACTATGCACTACATCACTTTACACTACATCACTATGCACTACATCACTATGCACTACATCACTATGCACTACATCACTTTACACTACATCACTATGCACTACATCACTATGCACTACATCACTTTACACTACATCACTATGCACTATATTACAATGCACTACATCACTATGCACAACATCTATATGCACTATATCACTATGCACTACATCACTATGCACTACATCACTTTACACTACATCACTATGCACTACATCCCTATGCACTACAACACGATGTACTACATCACTATGCATTACATCACAATGCACTACATCACTATGCATTACATCACTATGTACTACATCACTATGCACTACATCACTATGCACTACATCACTATGCGCTACATTACAATGCATTACATCACTATGCATTACATCACTATGTACTACATCACTATGCACTACATCACTATGCACTATATTACAATGCACTACATCACTATGCACTACATCACTATGCACTATATTACAATGCACTACATCACTTTACACTACATCACTATGCACTACATCACTATGTACTACATCACTATGCACTACATCACTATGCACTACATCACTATGTACTATATCCACTATGGCAACTAATCACTATGCACTACAAAACACGATGGTACTACATCAACTATGCCACTACATCATCACTATGGCCACTACATCACTATGTACTACATCACTATCCATTACATACGGAACACCAATGTTTAAACATCACAAAGACTACTCACTATGCAAACATCACAATACTCATCACTATGCATACATCACTATGCACACTCACTATGACTAATCATAGACATCACTAGTTTTTACTCATATGCACTACATCCACAGCACTACACCCCAAATGACACAATATGCACTACTCACTATGCCACCACTTTTACTACATCACTAGCAAATCAAGACTAAACAAGCAAATCCATGACAAAAAAAAAAGGGATTACATAATAGTCACATATGCAAAATAAAATCACCTAAACACAGAAGCATAATATTCACCTAAAAAAAGAAAATAAAAAAGGGGAACCTTTTGAGAGGAAAGAAAGGAGGGGCAAGAAGAAAAGGGATGATAGGGCCCTTAGAGAGAAAAGGCCCCTTTAGAGGGGGGGGGGGGGAGAGAGAAAGGATGAAGAAAAGCCTTTTCCCAATTTAATTTAGTTTTTGGGTTTAAACGAACGGGGAAGAAAGGGGGGTAAAAAAGGGGGGGAAAAAATAGAGAGAGAGAAGGGGAGGAGGAGAGGATGAAAAGAAAAAGAAGAAAACCCCCCCAATCCTCCCCCCCTAACCAAAATTCAAAAATTTTACCCCCCCTTTTTTTCCTTTTTCCTCTCTCTCTTCTTTCTTCTCCTCTTCTTTCTCCTTCTTTCTTTTTTCTTCTTCTCTCTCTTCTCTTTTCCCCCCTTTTTCTCTCTCTCTGTAGGAGTTCGGGGTTTCATCTCTGGCCCTACCAAAGCGAGCCCAGGACGAGGGGGAGGGAGGAAAAAAGGAAGGCCCACACCCCCCCCCCCACCTTAGCCGAAAACCGGGGCAAAACCCCAAACGGCCCATTCCTTTTTAAAAAACAAATTAAACCCCCAAAGTTTTTCCCTTTAAAACCTCCCCCTTAAAAAAACCCCCCCCCCCCCCCCTCTCGCTCTCCCCCCCTCTCTCTCCCCCCCCCTCCTCCTCTCCTCCCCCCCCCCCCCCCTCCCCCCCCTCCCCCCTCTGCTTTTCCCCTTTTCCCCCCCTTTCCCCTCCCAGCGAGCCCGTGTAGAGGATGATATCCCGCGGTGCCTGCCCCCATATGGAGCGCACAGATTTGGGACGTTTGGGGAGACGGAATTTTGGGGGTGGCCCGGGAAGTGTGGAAACACTCCACAGGCCCGGGAAAATTTCCCGAAGTCTTAACAAGGGCCCAGCGGGGGAAGGGGGAGGGGAAGGGGGGGGGGGGGGGGGTAAAAGGGGGGGGAAAAGGGGGGGGGGGGGGGGGGGGGTTAACAGGGGGGGTAACAGGAGCAAGGTTTGGGGAAAAAAGGGGGGGCAAAATAGGTAGGGGGTCGGGGCACAAAGGGGGTCAGGGGGAATGGGGGGGGGGGGGAATGGGAGAAGTGAGGGGGGGAGGGGGGAGAAGGAGGGGGGAAAAGGGAGGAAGGGGGGGGGGAGGGGAGAAGGGGGGGGGGGGGAGGGGGAAAGGGGGGGGGGAGGGAGGAGAAGTGAGGGGGGGAAGGGAGAAGTGAGGGGGGGCCCGGGAGAAGTGGGGGGGGGGGGGGGGGAAGTGAGGGGAGGGCAGGGAAGTGAGGGGGGGCCAGGGGGAAATGGGGGGGGAGGGGGAAGTGAGGGGGGGCCCGGGGGAAGGAAAGGGGGGGGGCAGGGAGAAGTGAGGGGGGGGGGGCCAGGGAAGTGGGGGGGGGGGTCAGGGAGAGTGAGGGGGGGTCAGGGAGAAGTGAGGGGGGCAGGGAGAAGTGAGGGGGGAAGCCAGGGAGAAATGAGGGGGTGTAGGAGAAGTGAGGGGGGGTGCAGGGCGAAGTGAGGGGGGGGGTGCAGGGAGAAGTGAGGGGGGGTGCTGGGAGAAGTGAGGGGGGGCAGGGAGAACGTGAGGGGGGGGCAGGGAGAGTGAGGGGGGGCAGGGAGAAGTGAGGGGGGGTCAGGGAGCAGGTGGAAACATGAGGGGGGGTGCAATAAGGGTGGGAGGTTATTTTACAGGGTAATCACAAGTCCACATTCAAGATTCATTATATCATTTGTAGGTATTTTGTTGGGCTGAAGTGTTGCTAAGTGGTTGTTATCTGACTATCTCCTCTTCCTCCTCCCTCTCCTCCTCCTCCTCTTCCTCCTCCTCCTTCTCCTCCCCCAATCAGGAGCATATGATCCAGAATGAGGTAGCCATCCTGAGGAGGGTGAAACACCCTAACATTGTTCTGCTGATCGAGGAGATGGACACCTACAGCGAGCTCTACCTGGTCATGGAGTTGGTCAAGGTACGCAACGCTAGGGGGTGTGTGTGTGCGTGTGTGTGTGTGTGCGTGTGTGTGCGTGCGTGCGTGCGTGCGTGCGTGTGTGCGTGTGTGCGTGTGTGCGTGTGTGTGTGCGTGCGTGCGTGCGTGCGTGCGTGCGTGCGTGCGTGCGTGTGTTGAATTCGAGATGCCATTCAAGGAACCCAAGGACACAGTACAATAAAACACAAAGAAAAAAAGAACAAAGCAAAGATTGTTTGAACCATAAACCAGATTTACTACTGCACTTCCACTGGTGCAGGGCCGGCTCTAGCCTTTAGGTGTCATGTTAATATGATATCTGAGTGAGAATGACTAACAAAATCAGTGGGGATCCCCCTGCAGGTCAGGGCTCCTCCTGGAGGTCAGGGCTCCCCCTGGAGGTCAGGGCTCCTCCTGGAGGTCAGGGCTCCCCCTGGAGGTCAGGGCACCTCCTCGGACATGATTACTACAAGTTTTTTTTTAGCTGACATGCTAATTGAGTGACTGTCAGTGACTGCCATAACGAGAGGAAAACTGATGATGCACAACCAAGTTGCATGGACTCACTCTGTGTGCAATAATAGTGTTTAACCTGATTATTTTTATTTAACTAGGCAAAGTCAGTTAAGAACAAATTCTTATTTACAATGACGGCCTACCCCGGCCTACCCCGGCCTACCCCGGCCAACCCCGGCCTACCCCGGCCTACCCCGGCCTACCCCGGCCTACCCCGGCCTACCCCGGCCTACCCCGGCCAACGCTGGGCCAATTGTGCGCCACCCTATGGGACTCCCAATCACGGCCGGATTGTGAAACTGTGATGAGGTGATGTTGAAGGAGTCAGGCGCAGGAGGGTAAATCACAGAATAACAGGATTTATTCCGTAACCACAGAGTTACGCAGTAACACGTCGAAACACTCCAGTGCGCAAAACAGGCGCACTGGAAAATACAAGGCACACAGGAAAATATCCCGGCGCAGGGACGGCCTGTTCAATAGGGCGATATGGGCGACGCACTGCCAAACGGGAAAAGGAAGGGATTTTTTTTCTAATCAATTATATCACGGCAACAGTAGTTATCAGTGTTGTAATCTGATCTGACTGCCACTAAATGTCAAATCAGGCTAAAGTCGTGCTTCAAATGGCCCCGCCCGTTTTTGGGCGATTTCAGTCAGGTTGAAAATCGCCCAGAAGTCTCTCATAGCCTGTCATGTAAAATCTATTTTTTTCAAATTTCAAAGCTTTCAATACATTCTCTATGGGTGTCTGTGGGCTTGCACTTACGCGCTTTCGTCATACGTGACGTAACCATGAACGTAACTAAGCAAATAGCGGCTAGCAGCGTCTCTTTGCGACCTGCAGTGTGGCGTTATTTTATGTTTTTAATTTGTACACTTAGTGGCGTTATTTTATGTTTTTAATTTGTACACTTAGTTTACAAACATTCTGCCAACCATGGATTTCGAGTGGGTGGGTTTTGGACTGATCTTGTTGATCGTGTACATACCCGCTACGAACGGACTAAATAATGAAAACGTTGCTGGCAGCGGAATCCAATACAGCTGGGAGACTTGGCTGGATGACAGAGTCCCGGACAGAGAAGTGGAGCCGGCCGGCTTCACCCTGGTCGGAGCGGACCTCGATCTGACAGTCACAGGGAAAATTGATCCTGGTAAGAGAGCGACTCTGTACCCCCGAGCCCCGACATTGAACTGCTTTCTGTGTCACTGTGACCTTACTATCTGCCCCGTGAGTTCCCCCAATTGTTTGTTACCGTTGTGTACTGTTGATAATCACAAGTTTACTGGAGAACTGAGACCAAGTAGAGACTTTGGACAGGGTGGATATGCACAAGATTTTAGTCAGACCAAGCTATAACATTATATATTTACTACGACAGTACATTCAACCAAAAGCTAATATAACAAAGGCATCAGAGATTATTTATAATCTGTCACAGAAACTGGAATCCATCTCCCCAGATCAGTCAATAAATGCTTCTGGTATTGACTTATATGCTGCCCCTGTCTTCATGTTGTTGCTGGACATATCTTTTTTAAAATGTGTGTAGGTCACCTAAATCATCAGAAAAATTGCCCCTCCTGAGAATTTTTTCAGGAGCCGCCACTGTCCCGGCGATACAAAATACAAGAAGCTCCACCACTCTCCACAATAAACAATCACACACAAAGACAAGGGGGCAGAGGGAACACTTATACAGGTACTGATGAGGGGGATATGAACCAGGTGTGTGTAATAGACAAGACAAAACAAATGGAATGATGAGATGAGGAGCGGCTAGAAGGCCGGTGACGACGAATGCCGAAGCCTGCCCGAACAAGGAGACGAGGCAGCTTCGGAGGAAGTCGTGACAGATACAGCCTGGAATTGAACCAGGGTCTGTAGTGACGCCTCTAGCACTGAGATGCAGTGCCTTAGACCCCTGCGCCACTCGGGAGCCCAAAATGACTACCTCATATCTGTACCCCACACATACAATTATCTGTAAGGCACCTCAGTCGAGCTGTGAACTTCAAACACAGGCACCAGGGAGGTTGTCAAATGTCTCGCAAAGAAGGACACCTATTGGTAGATTGTCAAAAAATAAAAAAATAAGCAGACATTGAATATCCCTTTGATCATGGTGAAGTTATTAATTACACATTGGATGGTGTATCAATACAACCAGTCACTACAAAGATGGAGGCGTCCTTCCTAACTCAGTTGGCGGAGAGGAAAGAAACCGCTCAGGGATTTCACCATGAGGACAATGGTTACTTTAAAACAGTTACAGAGTTTAATGGCTGTGATAGGAGAAAACTGAGGATGGATCAATATCATTGTAGTTACTCCACAATACTAACCTAAATGACAGAGTGAAACGAAGGAAGCCTGTACAGAATAAAAAATATTCCAAAACATGCATCCTGTTTGCAATAAGGCACTAAAGTATAACTGTAAAAAAAAAAAAGGCAAATAAATTAACTTTGTCCTGAATAAAAAGCGTTATGTTTGGGGCAAATCCAGCACAACACAATACTGAGTATCACCCCTTCATATTTTCAAGCATGGTGGTGGCTGCATCATGTTATGGGTATGCTTGTTATTGGCAAGGGAGTTTTTTGGGATAAAAATAAACGAAATAGAGCTAAGCACAGAAAAAACCTGGTTCAGTCTGCTTTCCAACAGACACTGGGAGAAAAATTCCCCTTTCAGCAGGACAATCACCTAAAACACAAGGCCAAATATACACTGGAGTTGCTTCCCAAGACGACATTGAATGTTCCTAAGTGGACTAGTTACAGTTTCGACTTAAATCAGCTTGAAAATCTATGGCAAGACTTGAAAATGGCTGTCTAGCAATGATCAACAACCAACTTGACAGAGCTTGAATAATTTTTTTAACAATAATGCGCAAATATTGTACAATCCAGTTGTGCAAAGCTCTTAGAGACGTACCCAGAAAGACTCACAGCTGTAATCGCTGCCAAAGGTGATTCTAACATGTACTGATTCATGGGTTTGAATACTTAATTAAATGAGATATTTCAGTATTTCATTTTCAATACATTTGCAAACATTTCTAAAACATGTTTTCACTTTGTCATTATTAACTATTGTGTGTAGATGGGTGAAAAAACAACTATATTTTATCCATTTTGAATTCAGGCTGTAACACAACAAAATGTGGATTTAATCAAGGTGTATGAATACTTTCTGAAGGCACTGTGTATATATATATATATATATATATATATATATATTTATATTATATATATATATATATTTTCTTTTTGGTCGAGGGCCCCGTAGCGGTCAGGGGCCCTAAGCAACCTCTTATGCCTGGAGCCAGCCCTGCACACACAGAAAGGGAGGGAGGGAGGGAGGGAGGGAGAACAAAGGAGAGGACAGAGATGAGAGCGAGAGAGAGATTGCCACATTGCCCTTTATGGTTCTGAGGTCTGGGGTCCGCTCACCAACCAAGAATTCACAAAATGGGACAAACACCAAATTGAGACTCTGCATGCAGAATTCTGCAAAAACATCCTCCGTGTACAACGTAAAACACCAAATAATACATGCAGAGCAGAATTAGGCCAATACCCGCTAATTATCAAAATCCAGAAAAGAGCCGTTAAATTCTATAACCACTTAAAAGGAAGCGATTCCCAAACCTTCCATAACAAAGCCATCACCTACAGAGAGATGAACTTGGAGAAGAGTCCCCTAAGTAAGCTTGTCCTGGGGCTCTGTTCACAAACACAAACAGACCCCACACAGCCCCAGGACAACAACAACAACAACAACACAATTAGACCCAACCAAATCATGAGAAAACAAAAAGAGAATTACTTGACACATTGGAAAGAACAAACAAATAAACAGAGCAAACTAGAATGATATTTGGCCCTAAACAGAGAGTACACAGTGGCAGAATACCTGACCACTGTGACTGACCCAAACTTAAGGAAAGCTTTGACTATGTACAGACTCAGTGAGCATAGCCTTGCTATTGAGAAAGGCCGCCGTAGGCAGACCTGGCTCTCAAGAGAAGACAGGCTATGTGCACACTGCCCACAAAATGAGGTGGAAACTGAGCTGCACTTCCTAACCTCCTGCCAAATGTATGACCATATTAGAGACACATATTTCCCTCAGATTACAGCGATCCACAAAGAATTCGAAAACAAACCCAATTTTGAAAAACTCCCTTATCTACTGGGTGAAAAACCACAGTGTGCCATCACAGCTGCAAGATTTGTGACCTGTTGCCACAAGAAAAGGGCAACCAGTGAAGAACAAACACCATTGTAAATACAACCCATATTTATGTTTATTTATTTTCCCATTTGTACTTTAACTATTTGCACATTGTTACAACACGGTATATATACATAATATGACATTTGAAATGTCTTTATTCTTTTGAAACTTCTGAGTGTAATGTTTACTGTTAATATTTATTGTTTATTTCACTTTTGTTTACTATCTACTTCACTTGCTTTGGCAATGTTAACACATGTTTCCCATGCCAATAAAGCCCTTAAATTGAATTGAAATTGAATTGAATTGAGAGAGAGAGAGAACAAAGGAGAGGACAGAGATGAGAGAGAGAGAGAGAACAAAGGAGAGGACAGAGATGAGAGAGAGAGAGAGAGAGAGAACAAAGGAGAGGACAGAGATGAGAGAGAGAGAGAACAAAGGAGAGGACAGAGATGAGAGAGAGAACAAAGGAGAGGACAGAGATGAGAGAGAGAGAGAGAACAAAGGAGAGGGCAGAGATGAGAGAGAGAGAGAAAGAGAGAGAGAGAGAACAAAGGAGAGGGCAGAGATGATAGAGAGAGAACAAAGGAGAGGACAGAGATGATAGAGAGAGAGAGTGATTGAGGAAGGCTGCAGGCACAGTTACAGTGAGGGAAAAAAGTATTTGATCCCCTGCTGATTTTGTACGTTTGCCCACT